TTCCTGTGCTATCTGCCATCATTTCAGGGGGGTGCTGTCTCCCAGCCCCCCCCCCGAACCCCCCCTCTGTGGATGGGGGGGAGATGGCACCTCCCTGAAATGAGAGGGACACCTCCCTGAAATTGCTTATTTCAGGTTGGGATCCCGGGCATTGACCTATACACATACAGCACAGCAATGAAGTAATAAAATAAACTAGGATCACACTAATCCAGCACATTATTATTCTGAGTTGCCCCACTCAAGCGGCGGCCATATTGAGTGGGGCACGTGAGATTAATAACGTGCTGGATTAGTGTGATCCTAGTTCATTTTATTGCTGTGCTGTATGTGTATAGGCCAATGTAGTTGGATGTGTATGTGCGTTATAATTAATCGATTAATCGATTTAAAAAAAATTTGATTAATCGAACAGGAAATTTTTAATCATTACCAGCCCTAATAATTTCCTCACTCTTCTAGAAAGCTAAACCCTGTTTTTATTGCTGATTGTGTGACTATTAGGTGGGAGAAATCTTCCAAATGGGGTTACAGACAGCAATTAAGTGTTTCCTTGTTGGTTCTGAGCCTTCTTCACTCTATCCAAAACCTTAAAAAGGTTTGGCTAAAGCCCACGCAGACCAAACCATGAGTTCACTTAATTGCCACCCTCCCCAGTTGCACATACTCACCGTCCCTCTGCCACTTCATTCGGCTGCCTGGGCAAAAGAGACATTTGTGGTAATTCTGGCTATGGGGGAGCATGTGACTCTCGCGCCTTCCTCGTACAGACAGTTCTGGTGATTGGCTGCTCAATCACCCAACACTGTCAGCCCTATGTAAGCTCCAAGGCTTCCTTTCTTTGTTCTCGGCGGCCAAATGGAGAGGCGAGGGACTGAAACGAAGGCATGTACAGCTTGGAAAATTGTGTCACGTAAATTTGCCGCCTATTGCTTTGCTCTGCATGGGCAAAGTACAGGTTCTCTTTAGGATCACTGCACCCAGAATTGATTATTCTGCTTTTTAATTGATGTTGAATCCCCAACTGGTATTTAATCTAATTTGTGGCCTCCTACAAATACAATTGCTGTGAAGTTCATCTTAGTTTTTCACTGCAAACAAGGGCATGTAACTCCTATTACTGTCTCTATAATGTAATTTTTTGAAGATTACAAAAGCAGAAGTAAGACCCCTTGTAATGGTCATGACTTGTGGGTGGAGCCAAGAACTCAGACAGATTTTACTTTGGGCATTTAAGTAATTCAAGCTGCCTTACCACTAGGGTGAGGGATTAAAGCAAAGAAGCTGGAAATGATTAGTCTTTTTTTCCAGCCATGTCCCATTCTGCACTGCCTCTTGCTACACGTGTCTTTGTAAATTACCTCCTGTGTGTTGACTAACAGTTTGGATGTACGCTACAAGGCACTAACACTTTCCTCCTTTGGGACTCTTTGGAAGCTGAATCTTTTTGGTAGTTTGTCTTCAGGAAGATAATTATGGTTCCCCTGGAAGAGTTTGTGTGTGGAAATTTATGAAGATGCACTTACTAAAGCTAATTAAGGTGATAAATGCTGAAATTAACTTCATATTTTATGTGGCTGGCGCATGGTGTTTTTTGGGGAAATAGGCGGTGAAAGTAATAGAAAACATATTAGAGGAAAGTCATATTTTACTAGTAGCTGTCAAGAACTTGCATTCTTTCCACTTGTTGTTATACTTCAGATTTTATTGCTCCTTTAGGTTCCAAACAAACACTCATAGATAGGCGAGAGTCATTAAATAATGCCATATGTATAACTATATAATATTCCTTTCATACCTTGTTAAATTAAAACAGCTAGATGTAAATAGGAAAATTATTAATTTTGCAATGACTATAGTTTTTCTAAATAAAAGAACTCTATGCTCAATTTTTTTTCCCCTTGGTCCAAATTGGTTTCCTCAGGAAGGAATTCTCTCTCACAAATGGTTGCGAGTTTGAGTCAGTTTCTCAATCATGTAGCCTATGGCCTTAATTAAACTGAATAAAGCTTAACTTACTGGCTCAGGGGTAGACACACACACACACACACACACACACATACATATATATTGCCAAAAGTATTAGGGCCGCCTGCCTTTACACACACATGAACTTTAATGGCATCCCAGTCTTAGTTCGTAGGGTTCAATATTGAGGTGTCCCACCCCCTTTGCAGGTATAACAGCTTCAACTCTTCTGGGAAGGCGTCCACAAGGTTTAAGAGTGTGTCTATGGGAATGTTTGACCATTCTTCAAGAAGCGCATTTGTGAGGTCAGGTACTGATGTTGGATGAGAAGGCCTGGCTCGCAGTCTCTGCTCTAATTCATCCCAAAGGTGTTCTACCGGGTTGAGGTCAGGACTCTGTGCAGGCCAGTCAAGTTCCTCCACCCCAAACTCACTCACCCATGTCTTTAAGGACCTTGGTTTGTGCACTGGTGCGCAGTCATGTTGGAACAGGAAGGGGGAGGAAGGGGCCATCCCCAAACTGTTACCACAAAGTTGGGAGCATGAAATTGTCCAAAATGTCTTGGCATGCTGATGCCTTAAGAGTTCTGTTCACTGGAACTAAGGAGCCCAACTCCTGAAAAACAACCCCACACCATAATTCCCCCTCCACCAAACTTTACTGGCACAATGCAGTCAGGCAAGTACCGTTCTCCTGACAACCGCCAAACCCAGACACGTCCATCGGATTGCCAGACAGAGAAGCGTGATTCGTCACTCCAGAGAACACGTCTCCACTTCTCTAGAGTCCATTGGCGACCTCCTTTACACCATTGAATCCGACGCTTTGCATTGCACTTGGTGATGTAAGGCTTGGCTGCAGCTGCTCGGCCATGGAAACCCATTCCATGAAGCGATTTACGCACTGGAGGTCTGTAGCTATTGACTCTGCAGACAGTTTGCGACTTCTGTGCACTGTGCGCTTCAGCATGCGCCGACTCCACTCTGTCATTTTACATGGCCTACCAATTTGTGGCTGAGTTGCTGTTGTTCCCAGTTACTTCCACTTTGTTACAATACCACTAACAGGTGACCGTGGAATATTTAGTAGCAAGGAGATTTCATGGATGGACTTATTGCACAGGTGACAACCTATCCCGGTACCACACTTGAATTCACTGAGCTCCTGAGAGCGACCCATTCTTTCACAAATGTTTGTAGAAGCAGTCTGCATGCCTAGGTGCTTGATTTTATGCAACTGTGGCCAATGAATATATATAGTTTTTTTAATGTGTTTTTGTATAATTTCTTCAGTGCTGAATGAGGAGAGAAACTCAGTGTTAACCTGCCTAGTAATGATCACTCTGCAGAGGTTCATTTCATAGTAATAGAGGGTAAATGGCTGTCATTAAGCTCTGTATCACTGTACTTAGCAATGCATGAGTTTAACCTTTCACCACTGCTCTCAGAAATCGGGCAGAATATGTGATACAGCCATATGAGCGTCAAGGAAGTAGTACAGAGCTGATAAATGTGAGTGTCAAGATTGGAGAATTTCCATATAACCCTATTCATTTTTCACTATGCTAATGTCATAATTCAATAAAGAATTCTGGGATTTAATGATGAAAGTAACAAAAAAGACTGAACTTCCTCCCAAAAACTTGACTTCATGCTCAGTGTGCCCAGATCTTGCGCTCCTTATTTTCCCAGAACGATTTATGGGAATCCCAGTAGTAGGGAGTTTCTTTGCAAACGGGGTGTGCTCTGTGACTCAAGCAAAGCTCAGCATGGTGGTATTGTTTTGGAATGAGGCCTGTGTTGTTCCCAGTTTTTGAATAGACTTGGTAAGGGTTAATGCTTTTGTAAGTTTTTATTGCCATCTTGGTCCATATTAGGGAGATCCCCCTTCTTGCTCCAGTGATGACCGCACCCCTCGTTTCTTGTTTTGGTGTAATAGGAGGTGAGGGGAGATCTCTCCAATGATGTCAATGACAAAAATGTTAAAGATGTATTCTGGACCTCTCCCTTCCCCACAAATAATAATCACTGCAGAAATTTAAAATAAGACCAATTTAAATGCCCCATTTACATATTTAAATCCATGTTCACGTGACATGTTGGATCTCTAGTCTTCTCTCTTCTGGACTTTAAATTGGGAGGGTCCTTCGGCTGCCTACATTGCTGCTTCTGGACATTGTTTGTCCAGTGGCCAGGTCCTCTAGGACACTGCAGGGGCATAATGTCTCAACAAGACCTGTCGATGGCATGCTTGGACCCAAGTGCTTGATCACTGAGCTTCACTACAGGAAGAGCCTCAAGCAAGGGACACATGACACTGGCCCTTTGGAATAAACTTTGCTCAGTGGGTGGGTAATTTTGCATAAAGATGGGCTTTACATCTTCCCCACTTTATTCAAAGCCCAAAAATGTACTGAAAAAAACTATACATCCTGTTTAATATTTCCTTTATTGCCTTGGAAAAAACCCCCAAATACCTGGGTAATAATAGTATTGCTTATAATTATTGCACACCATCCCATGGGGATGCTTGTTAGAGAACAAAGCCGTAATCTGGTTGTTATTTTGATCTGTAATTACAGCTTTATTACCTCTTGTTCTAATGACTCCTGTCTTCCTCTCCTGTTCAATTGTAGCTGTTCTATTTTTCTGAAATCTAATGACACCACGTCTCTCTAAATAAGGTGTATTTTCTTCTATATGCTGAAATAATGCCCTACAAAAGAACGGTACACATTGTGTGTGTTTTTTTTTTTCTTTTTCGCTTTCTTAAATCATTCAATGATAAATATAGGTTAGCTTGGTGCAGAGTGCTGTAACAATCTCTAGACTAGTTTGTCAGTCATGACAGATTTGGAATCTAGACCTGTAACTACTCATTGTCTTTACAGTACTGTACTTTGGTAGCGTGGGTGTATGCCTTTGAAAATCAGATCCGAATACATTGCAAGACCGTAGGTAGGTCTGCCGGAGGAGAATTTCAGGAAACAAAATGTGTTTTCTTTCCGCTGGTATGCTGTCACAGTGCAGGCTTTCTGCCACTCGTCAAACTTCTGTGCAAGGAGCAATGATAGCGCCACATGTAGCAGACTACAGCAACCGATCAAAATTCAGTTCTTAGATTTCAGATTAGTAAAAGTTTCATATTTAGTCATTGATGTAAGTTATGATTTCTTAGTCAGGGGTTACCTTTAAAATAAGGGATGCTATAACAATGTTCAACAGGGTATTTCTAATTATTTAAACCTTTTGTGACAAATGGTCAACAAAGTGTAAATGGTCAAACTAAATTTAGCAGTGTTGGCTAACTATTTTGCATCCTATATTATAGTAATATTAAACTCTCAAACTTTTTCTTTCAATAATGAAAGTAACCTGCAAAATATGGATTCTGCCATTTGTGGACTTTCTAAAAATGCCTGACTATCTCTGGCATCAATACTTTCTGCCCGGGAAAAATCACCTGACGCGTCTCTTGAGGTTTCTGATTTGCATGCTTTTTATGCTTTCTGCACAGGTTTACTTTAACACCCTAACAGTCTCTTGGTAATGTTGACAGCTGTCTCTCTAGCAGTCCCTGGTTTGAGTTTTCTGGGAAAGGAAACATGGACATTAATACATCAGTTTTATTGTAGTATTTGGTACTTTCATAGAGATCTTCAGATGCTGCAGGGTTTTCTGGAACTCTGAAAATCGGCTGCTGTTTTCAGAACTCCTATGGTTTGTCACAGCAGTGACTCATCCCTGATCAGGGGGCTCAGTGGGAGGTTTTAATCAGACAGAAAGGGAATTTGAAAGCAAACTTTGCCATTAGCTGACCCATAATTGTTTGTCATGTATTGAATCTTTGGGAATCAAAGGTGTGTGTGTCCGTCCCCATTTAAAATGTCTAAAAATACTTACATAAAAGTGACCCAGATCATTTTCCATTTCCCTTTAAAATAAATTCAGCACTTTCCCAAATACAGTTTGGACTAAATGGAAGACATACATTTGCCCGGAGTTCTTTAACACCATGGGTGCTGTAAAATGGATCATTTTGTTAGGTTGTTTGGCTGCTGACAGTGGGCAATAGTTCAGCGTTTTGGAAATGGTATAAACATCAAAGGCAGATAAATTGCAATAGCAAATAATATTCTGCTCTAGCTGGAGAAAATCTCCCAACATAATGATCAGGAATGCAGGAGGGTTTTGCTGTGTAACTTTCTGGTGACCTGCAATGTTCCAGAATACTGCCGCAATACCAATTATTTTTCCCCGATGTGGAGAATATTGTGTGCTGTGCTTCACTTGCTATGTAAACAGTGTACAGATGATAATGTTTAAAATTTGATAGCATATCAATGTACAGTGTGTGTGTATATATAATATATATATAAAGAGAGAGAATAAAGCTATTGTCCTTCCGCTTGCAGCTCCACATCAGGAGAAGATGGGTTATCCTAGGGGCCAGTGGGGGCATTTGCTAGAGGAAGAAGATGGGTGATCTTAGCGGCCATTGGGGGCATTTGCTAGAAGGACAAGATGGCTGATCTTAGTGGCCTCTGTCTATTCTATTATCTTCATCCTCATCTAATACAATGGCTGCATGCTCTAACAACCAATAAACGTTCCACTGGAGTTGTTGTATCGATTGGATGTCGAGTTTGTTGTGTGATTTTTGCCACGTTTTCTCCTCTCCCTTTGTAGTTCCTACCACCGCTGCAAGCACCCCAGACGCTGTGGACAAGTACCTGGAAGTCCCCAATGATGAAAATGAACATGACCGATTCCAGAAGGCCAAAGAGAGACTGGAAGGCAAACACCGAGAGAGGATGTCTGAGGTAATTGGTTACACAGCTAAAAATAAGAAATCCGCCACATTAGCTGGACATCAGGCTCAATGGGTCCCAGCCAGTGCTAGTCTCACAGACCAATGTAGCAGGGCCGCAATCATTGAGAGTCACAGGGGAATAAATCTGAATGTAGTTACTCAGTAATGAGCTTGGTAACTGCCAGCACAGTCGGAGCCGTGATATACCTAAAAATTCACACTGTGCGATTGCTCTGTAGTTTCCTTTTGCTTCTCTCAAATCTTACATAATATCTATTGTGATTATTTTTAATTCCTTAGTTGTATGCATGTGTCATAATTAGATTTTTAATACGTTATTGCAGAGGTTAAAAGCTTCACCAGGGGAAGATTTGGCAACACATATATATTGCAAGTAAGTATTAAAGAAAAACTCTGGGAATTTAAAAAAACTAACCCTTGCAGTGGGGCTACCCCTGCACTGAAAGGGTTAAGTGCTCATTTTGTCTAGGGGGCGAAAATAAAGCAGATGTACTCATCTTTTCCATGGTCCTGCCAAGCTGCTAGACTGGTCTTTGCAGTCTCTTCTCCCCTGGGCTCCAGGGCTCTAAGGACCACAGATGTCGTCACGTGTTATGCAGGTGCATTGGTTGTGTGGACGCTGAGACACATTCCATAGCCGGAACGGAGGGGGCTGATCACCTCTGGACCGATGATCAGGTGAGTATATCTGCTTTATTTGAGCCCCTTGAAAATAATGAACACTTAACCCTAGCAATGCTGGGGTGGCCCCACTGCAAGCATTTTTTAAATTACTGTAGTTATTCTTTAAGCTATTCTTTTACCAGCATACAGCTCTCTAATGAAACTGTTTTATTATTCATATGCACTCAACTGCATATACGTGGGCACGCATCTGTGGGAATATAGGCATGCCATGTATTCATGCTACCACACCATGAATCCATGAATTGTGATGGTATGAATTCCCGGCCAATCAGCATTAAGCCGGCCAAACAGCATGGAGGCGGCTTGTCGGGCGGTGAGTCATTACCCGCCGAGTCGTTACCCACCGCCCGACTTCTTGATTGGGCGGAAAGCAGACTCCATTGTCCCTCGCGGCATTGCAGGTCAAAGGAAATCTGCCTCTGACTGGAAGTTCCGGTATCCGGGGAAGCATCGGAGCATTTGAGATAGTATGAGTACTCTCCCAAATACTCGGTATCGGCACCGATACTGATATCCGTATTGGTGCATCCCTAGTATATATCATGATTTCCCCCTTGTTGCATACGGTAATGTGGTGTGTAATGTATCTGATTGTTGCACCACCCCACTGTGGGGTGATGGACTATGTTATGAGTGCTCCTATGTTATAGTATCAGCTATGACTAAGGCCGTGTAGGCTGAAACACGTCAGCTGTTTTAACTTTGTGTGTTAGAGGCATCTATTATAAAGTATTATCGGAGAAAGAAGCAGTGTGCCGGTAATTGTATAACTGCCCTCTTCACACTTTTTGTGACTCATTTGCTGCAATTACAGTGTATTTACATAGAATTAAATATATAAAACCCCAGGTCAATTTAAAAACTTGACATTTATCAAAATGTCTGAACACATGTGAAAGAGCTATGATTTTATTGGGTGTAGAAATCGAGTAATTTCACAGGGCACCCATCACGAGAAAAATGTGTGCAGCCGTTGCTGATCTCCATCTGAAAACACTATTGGACTGGCTGTTTAGATGATCCTCCTAGTTTTTTTTTTTTTATTCTTTATTTGTAGGCAAAAAGGGTGGGGTACATTGCGATCCTCCTAGCTTTAATAGCTTTCTGAATCTCTGACCAAGAACAAGCAAGCAGCAAAATCATCTGCATTCTTTTTCTAGTTCAGTGGCTCTGGAAGTATTGAAGCCAGAGGATTAGCATGCCAGCCAAGCAGCTTGCAATTTCAGTAGGAGGTCAGCAATGGCAGCCTGTGACGGGTCTAGGCATGGTCAGTAGTCACAGCTGGTCACCTGCCTCCGTAACACTCCTGCAGAAAAATTACACTTGGTAACATATATTTATTTTTCCTTTTCTTTGTACATCTCTGCTTCATTTAAGGTTATATGCATTATGCATGCTTAGCTGTGTTTAAAAGTAATCGGCTTTAAGATGTAACCAGAGGGGTAAATAAGAGTGTCACAAGAAGGCAGCCGCATCCTTTTACATTAATAAAGTGTCGTGGTGGGAAGGAAGCTGTAGAATGAATGGGAATTTATCACCGTTTCTGTATCTGCAGTGCGTCCTCTGGAGAGCGGGGACCGCAGACAGCACTGTCTTATGATTTAAAGGCTTCCCCTTCTTTTTTATTATGCTTGTTTGTTGTGACCTCTGATGAATTCCGATTACTGTATGTGGACAAATAGACTCAGAAAAGGGCTGTCACAGCAATACTTCTTGCTCAGGATCGGTAGAGGGCAAGGATTTTCTAGCTTCTGGCTTATTGCTACAATGCCTACTCATGCTGTGTAATGAAAAACGGGACTTTCGTACCTGGGAATGTAGTAAAAGATCAATGACTAGGATGGGACGTTGCGGGTTATTGTTTCCAGGTAATAATACAGAGGCTGTAGGAAAAAAAACCTTGACTCCTCAATGACAATGCGCCTTATAAATAAAATCTAAAGCAAGTAAAATGGGCATATTGCTTATAGCAGCCGGTCAGGGGTTTGTATCCTCAAAATGCTGGAAGCTGATAGTAAAAATATATAGCAATTTTAAATGGACAGTAAAAATATTTTATAATACAAACGTAGACAACATTTGTGGTACCCTCCCTTGGGAGAAGGCACAGTTTTCTCTGAAACTTGAAACTGATAAAAGTAATTGGCATTCAACTTAGTTCCGTGTTTAATAAAAAATCAGACTTTGCTTTTGAATATTTTAAATAAAACAAATATAAATTGCATGGACAAAAATGATGGGACCCCTAACTTAATATATTGTTGCAAGACATTTGGAGGCAGTCAGTGTAAACAATGCAGTCTGTAGCTGTCGATGAGATGTCTGCTCCCGCCAACAAGTAGTCTGGTCCACTCTTCCTGAGCATATTGCTCCAGCTGTCTCAGGTTGTAAGGGTGTCCTCTCCAGACTGCTCTTCCCATAGATGGTCCATAGGATCAGGGCACATAGAAGGTCACTTCAGAATAGTCCATTGTTTTGTTCTTAGCCTTTCTTTTGGTGATTTTTAGCTGTGTGTTTTGCATCATTATCCTGTTGGAGGTCCTATGACCTGCGACTGAGACAAAGCTTTCTGACACTGGGCAGTACCTTATGCTCCAGAATTCCTTGAAAGTTTTGAGATTTCATTGTGACCTGCACAGATTAAAAGCCCCCCATCCCAGACACAGCAAAGCAGCCCAAAACATAACCAATCCTCCTTCATGTTTTATGGAAAATACAGTGATCTTTACTTTGAAAATTAAAAGCAGAACTCTTAACCCTTCCAGTGGGGTTACCCCTGCACTGCAAGAATAAAGGGCACATTTTTAGCCCAAGGAGCTAAAATAACAAAGATATACTCAACTACATGTCACTCAGCATCCACATGTCCTATACTCTGTTGGGACATGATGGCTCATAGGTCGTTAGACTGCCGGAGTTGAGGGGGAGAGAGACTCCAGGGACTAGCCGGGATACTGGTTCAGGTGAGTATATCTCTGTTATGTTATCTACCTAGACAAAACGAGCACTTAACCTTTGCAGTGGGGGGTTGCCCCACTGCAAGGGTTACGATTTTATTTGCCTAGAGTTTTTCTTTAATTTTTGGATCTGTGAACATAGAGTTGATGTAACTTGCCAGAACTCTCCAGTTCTGTCTCATCTGCCAAAGGACAGAAGCATTGTGGATTATCAATATGCATTTTAGAAAATTCCAGTCTGGCTTTTTTATGGGTTTTTTTTTTTGGTTTTTTTCCCCTCCTGAGTCTTCTTTTTTTGAGCCCACTGTCATTCAAAAAGCAGTAGATGGCACGATCAGACACTGAAATACTTTGACAAATGTGTCCACATCTGTACATGAATTAAAAAATCCATTTTGTAAAAAAACACATTTCCATTTCAATGAGAACCATCTGTGTTGCCTCACACAGCAGCCAATAAGTCTGTCCCTTTTATTTCATAGCTGTGATTTTCCTGTGCAGGTTTGAGACTTGTTGATTGCTAGGGCACAGCATGGACCGTACTTATTTCAGAGACTTTGATCAATGACTTCCATTCTGAGGGTAGAATCAAATGCAGGACCCTTAGCAGCCAATCAGACATTATTTCTATCATGGCTTTGTGATATATCTTCTTCTGAACATCATTTTGTTTCTGCAGGTGATGAAGGAATGGGAGGAGGCCGAGCGTCAAGCAAAGAACCTTCCAAAGGCTGACAAGAAGGCCGTGATCGAGGTAATGAAGTGGCTTACATGAAATCACTAGACTCACAAGACATGAAAGGACAGAGATTAAAGGCTAGACTCTGCCTTGCAGAATATTTCAACTGTAATTACCGATAGATCGTATATGGAGTTACAATGAATATGTGAAAGGACTTGCTGATGTAGAAAAGGAAAATTAATAGGAACAGCACAGCGAACATATTCAGTGTCACAGTTACTTTTAAATGTGGTCATTTTGTATTTCCACTCTTCATTCAAATTACCAGATGCCTCAACATTGTACTCGGTTAGGTTGGCCAACAGTTGGGTGTTCCGCCATGGCTTTACCATCTTCTGGAATGGAAAGTTTGGGTTTAGCCCCATGGACAGAGTTTTTTTGCTCCACAGATTAGTCAATTGTAAAATCTTGTACCATGTTAGCCAATAATTAATAAGGGGGACTTGGGGTTTAAATTTCAATGAAAGCTAATGACATTTCCTAATAGATCAGTTCCTAATAGGACCTTTCCATTTTCTATACCTTATTTTAGACCCATCTATGCCATCACTGGGTCTATGTTTTTTAATGCAATGCAGGCAGATCATGAGTGGTGGGACGGGTAGGATGCCATACACAGCTTCATGAAAACATGACAGTACCCTGCCCCAGTACTCCTCTCAAGGGCCCACAGCCCTAAGACCAGCAGTGGGCTGGCTTGTGGAAATCTCAAATGCCTTACTGAGTAGATGTCAGAGGAGTGGGCAGTCCTAGGCAAGTTGCATCTGCAATAAGATTGCCCTTGCACCAAGTATGATGCTGAGCCTACATAACTGAAAGAACTAAACGCCAAAGAATGAATGGGCCAGGGACAGTCAAGCTAGGGAGGAAAGGGTAGATGATGCCATATACCCTCCAGCCAAGAAAAGAGGCAGTCTCTGTCTGATTTGCTGCAGCTTCTAATGCACGCTGGAGTAGCTCTAGTCTTGTGCTTTGTGTTCAACTGAGGACATCTGGTAGGGAAAAAGCAATTATTGTGGCAGACCGTGCCGGAGAGGAAGTAAGTATTGCAGCAACTCTTCAGGAAATGAAGTCAGAATTCCTCAACATGTACGTCAGTGACTGAACTGCAGACATTAGATCAGCAAGACAGCCGAACAACTCGCACTTTAGGGCAAAGCAGCAATGGCAGCTTCCAGGTTTCTGTGCTGCCCAGATGGCTTTTTATGGACTTTATATGGAAAATAAAGTATTCCAGCAGTGAATCTAACTCTCAAACTTTGTTTTCAATAATGAATCCAGATCAAACAAATATACATTGGCCAGCAAAGTATTTCTTTACATTTTTGCCCAAACGCTTAGTCATCATGTTTCCAAACAGCTGACTTGAAATCTCAGTCCAGTACAAGATCACGAGGGACGGAGCTGACTCCAGCAGCTGTCCATCTACTAGCTTGGGGCAGGGGATAGGGTTTCCTTGCTGCGTCTGTGTGTTTGTGGAGACCCACACAACTTACTAGCACACACAAAAGTGGCTACATTGGACCCTGCAAGGGAAAGGAATAACCCTAAAAGTAGCAGCATCCATCGGAAGAGATTTAATCCGCATTTTGCATAGTATAAAAACCCTTTTGTCTTTATTATCACTTTAAGGTCCAACTCCAGCCAAATGTTTTCTTTTCTAAAGAGTGTGGCAGGGTTAGAACCTCTGGGTCAGATTTGTATTGCTGTCTTTGTCTGTCTCTCTTCCCCTTTCCTCATTCCCCCAGCGTAATTTCCCATTACCTAATTTCTTGGGGTCAGAACAGAAAAAAAGAGCAAATTTCTGCAGTGATGTGTACAGAGCCAGCAACAGTGGATAAAATGATGTGTTTGGGGTTTTTTTTTTCTTGCTGTAAGCCCAAAATCTGGTTATTTTAGAAATGCTGCTAGATAACATCCTAACCTGACTCTACCTGCCAGCTATACATAGTGCAGTTCATCTACGGAGAACTGGCAATATCTTTTCTTTTAGTACAAAGCACACTTTGATCACCTCAGGAACAGAGAACATTGTTAATACACAATTGCACAAAGACCTAAACTTGAAGTATCTGATGTAAAATAAGGTAAACTGCTAAATATGAGGCAGGAGTGCGTAGAAACATGATTTTACTCAATGGTGACAAAGCCTCACTTTAGCAGAGCTGCTCCCATCAGCCTCCGTAATGACGTACAGATTCATCAGACTCTCCACACGTTCAGCCGGCTCTCCAGTTTGTGAATGGGAAAGATGCGATTGATTGCAGTTTTTTTGGATCACTTAAAGCATCTTCATTAAGGCCGTAAAGCAGGCCTCCCTTCTGATGAATAGTGTGTGTAGTCCTGTTTCTATAGTTACTGACAAGGTATCCATGCAGGGTTAATAGGTAGTTGTACTCCTCTGCTTAGCTTCATCTATTTTAATGGGCAGTAGTCATTTGTAGAAAACAGTAATGGTGAATGTCACACGTGTTAATTGCGCTCTTGGGTTGCACTAATAATTGGTAGATTTAAATTACTTTTGCAGTTTTCTATTTTCCTTCTTTTTAATAAGCTCACCGGCTTGCTATAGTGAGATATTAGATCAACATCGCTGCAATGTATTCCGACAGAAACCCAGAATTTTTTCTTCATTGATTAAATCTGCAGTTGAGGAATAGCACATATAGACTGGGGATAACAAGTTGGTAGGAAGTTATAGAAGCACATACAGTATAAATGTACAACACAAGCCTCCAACATGGTCAGATTTGATTTTTTAGCAGTTTTTGTGTTTGCATTTTTCGTGTAAAACAGACCAACAATGTTATAGAATTGTTTCTAAAAGAAAACACAATAGGGGATAATATAATTTGAAAAATGGATGCTGGACTCCAAGTTGCAGTTATAGTTTGCTTTATTAAACACAGCACAGCCCACACAGACCTTTCCCTGACTGTGTGGGTTGTGCTGTGTTCACTAAAGTTGATTCTAACCAAAACTTGAGGGTGCGACATCCATCTCTCATGTATACAGGCTGGTGGTTAGCCACAGGATATTGACACTTGAGATAAAGAAGCCAGATTTGAGTGCCTTGAGTTGGGTCATCTTGTATGCAATCTTTGCAAAGAAATAATGTACAAGGTTTGTATGGGCATTGGTGAATACAAAAAGGAGAATAATGCTGAGAATATAATGTAGTCATAAAATTATAATAATGTAGAGTGATTTCAACCAGGTTATTGCAGAATGTCCCAATCAAAAGAGTAGAGAGGAGTAGAAAAAGAGTATTACATTCTAAAGGAAAGAAATGTATCAGCTAAAATGTATTCCGGCATCCTCTGTTAAAGGAAATCTAAAAAGGTTTTGTGTCCAAGTATAATAAATGTATTATTGTATATAATAGGAGGAGCTAAGGAGATAGAGAAAAATATGTACAAGAGCATTACAAAACCAGTGTAGGAGATTAAGGCTGCAGCTAACTATTATTTTCATAATCGATTAGTTAGCCGATTATTAAGTTTGATTAATCGACTAATCGGATAAAAAAAAAAGGCTCCAGTGATGGACTACTAGTTTCTATTGAGATTGTAGTCCATCACGGGAGCAAGCTTGGCGCGGTGGAAGTAAAAAAAAAGTGTGGTGTGCAATATAGTACATTATACAGCGGCGCAGTGCAGAATACCAGCAGCTATAGAGGAATGTAGCAATAGTACATTAACTATAATGTACTATTTCTGTGATTTATAGTCCTCTGTAGCTGGGGTTATTCTGCATTGCACTGTATATAATGTATTATTGCTGGGTATTGTTGTTCCTCTATAGCTGCTAATGTTCTGCAGTGTGCCGGTGTATTATACATTGGTTTTCTGCATTGTATTGTGCATGGTGTTCTGCATTGTATAATACAGCGACACCCTGCAGAACACCAGCAGCTATAGAGGAATGTAGCAATAGTACATTAACTATAATGTACTATTTCTGTGATTTATAGTCCTCTGTAGCTGGGGTTATTCTGCATTGCACTGTATATAATGTATTATTGCTGGGTATTGTTGTTCCTCTATAGCTGCTAATGTTCTGCAGTGTGCCGGTGTATTATACATTGGTTTTCTGCATTGTATTGTGCATGGTGTTCTGCATTGTATAATACAGCGACACCCTGCAGAACACCAGCAGCTATAGAGGAATGTAGCAATAGTACATTAACTATAATGTACTATTTCTGTGATTTATAGTCCTCTGTAGCTGGGGTTATTCTGCATTGCACTGTATATAATGTATTATTGCTGGGTATTGTTGTTCCTCTATAGCTGCTAATGTTCTGCAGTGTGCCGGTGTATTATACATTGGTTTTCTGCATTGTATTGTGCATGGTGTTCTGCATTGTATAATACAGCGACACCCTGCAGAACACCAGCAGCTATAGAGGAATGTAGCAATAGTACATTAACTATAATGTACTATTTCTGTGATTTATAGTCCTCTGTAGCTGGGGTTATTCTGCATTGCACTGTATATAATGTATTATTGCTGGGTATTGTTGTTCCTCTATAGCTGCTGGTATTCTGCATTTCGCCGTATAATCATTATACAGCGCACTGCAGAATGCCACCAGCTATAGAGGACTACAAATCCCAGCAATAATACATTATACAGGCTGTTTAATGTATTATTGCAGGGATTTGGTGTTCCTCTATAGCTCCTAATGTTCTGCAGTGTGCCGCTTTTTAAAAAAAACAACACACAGGAAACATTAAAAAGCTCCCGGCCTATCTCGACTTACCTTGAATGACGGTGTTGTCGGGGGGCAGCAGCGTTGTTCGTTTTCGGCAGGCAGCGGCGAGTTGGGAAGCTCACCGGGAGGAGAGGGCCAGACGCATGTCCTCAGCGTGGGCGCGCGTCGCGTGAGCGGGTATACCAGCGTAGGCGCGAGAGCGGCTTAACTGACGTGGGCGTGGCGTAAGCGGCGGGCGTAAGCAGCGTGCGTGAGCGGCGAGCAGGAAATTTGAATTTAAGCCGACGAATCGACGATGGAAAACGTTGACAACGTTTTCCATCGTCGATTTTAATCGACTTAATCGAATAATTGTTGCAGCTCTATAGGAGATCCACCCTTTGGATTAACTATATTTGAACAAATATGCCTATAGGATGCCTTGGGGAGAGGCATTTTATCCATCATCTATAATTTATTGATAGGAAGTAAAAATCGGACCTTGCCAAAGTATGTTTCCCAATGGGAATGCGATCTAGATAAACAGTTGAACCTGAGAGAATGGGCTTAGATATTATAGTACCACTGCTCATTTTTCGATTAATGTGACGGCTTTGGAAGCCAACTATGAAATTCTGTTCCGTCGGTATTTAGTCCCGCTTAGAATAGCTAAATTTGCAGATGGAACCTCCCCTAATTGTTTTAGGGGATGCAGTGAACTGGGACCGATGCTACAAATATGGTGGAGCTGCCCTACAATTAGATGGTTTTGGTCAGAGGTTTACCAGGTGATCAATACAGTATAAGGGAGGCGATTTAGGAGAGACCCATGGGATGCTCTGCTGAACCGAAAGCCTGAGGGTTCTATCAATCTGTAGATTAAGCTGATGATGTTTGTTTACCACAGCCAAGCAGAAACTTGCTAAGGCATGGCGATCTAGTTTCTTTTCTATTCAACAGGTTAAAAATAAGGCCTGCTGGTAAATGGTAAATGAAAAGCTCTTGGCAGTTGTGAACGACACAATTCCTCAATTTAAAAGAACATGGGAGCCATGGATACAAAACTATCTGTCTACTAGATTGAGGGTGGTGCTTGATTTGTAGGTTTAAGCTGTAAGAGGGGTGGAGGGGGAGAAGATGAGGAGGAGGAGGGGGCTACTTTTCTTATTATGGGGGGTGGGAGGCACAAATATGATGATGACCAGGGGGAAGCTTTTGTATTAGAATAGTTTGTCATTTTATAAGATTTTGCTTTTATATTTATTGCTTCTTAGCTTCATATGTAATGTTCCAAGGGGCGTAGGAAGTGGTGTTTGCTATGTATGTATGTTTATAAATTGTTTAAAATCCAATAAAGATTATTGAAAGTCAAAACCAGTATAGCCCAATTCCAGCCAAATAGAAATGAAGCCAAAGAACGGCTTTATAAAATGAATATTTTGGGGCTGATTTGCAAAGTGTATTGGAGCAAAAGTAGAGCAGCTGTTCAAAGCAACTGGTAAGATCTCTTTTTTTCTTTTCAAAGATAAAACAATCCTTGCTATAGATGACTGGCCCACTTTTGAGTCAATTTTCTTTTGTAATTCCGCTCTAGGAATTCAGGTCCAAATATATTATAAAGTCAAAAGAAAGAGTAAAGAATAGGTGTCCTTTGTTCCTATCCAGGCAAACCAAGCAATCGTGAAAATATAAACTTTCACCTTTTTTCTTCTCTTGCTGTACTTTGAGAGCAGTACTAGGGGCCATCAAGGGTCCAGACAGTTCAAATCTTTAGTTTCTTGATAGTGATCTACAGGCACAAAGCTCTCTGGAATTACAGGAAATAACTTTTCCTTCCCTGGACTAGAACCCTACTGACTAGCATGCTGATCTGAAAGAGTGCCGGCGTGCCTTCCTTTATATAATGAAGAAAAATATAGCTTGCCTTGCTGTCCAGTTACCTTAGTGCACTTTATTCTGCACATGTTTGTAGACACTTAACAAAAGGCATGTTCTGTATGGGCTGCTAGCATTCTACGTATATATTTTTCACACAAAGGTACAATTGATCTAAGCAGTACACTTAGTTGTATAAAGATGTTCTGGCATGCTATGAATATATGGAGGCTGTCGTTTAAGAGACACTTATTGTATTGCTCTTTTAAATGTTTTATTTCTTCCGTATTGTAGCGCTTCCAGGAAAAGGTGGAATCCTTGGAACAGGAAGCAGCAAATGAAAGACAGAAGCTGGTTGAGACTCACATGGTTCGTGTGGAGGCCATACTGAACGATCGCAGAAGAATCGCTCTGGAGAATTACATTACTGCACTTCAAGCTGATCCACCAAGGGTATGTGTTGTTTCTGCCTAAATATTCCAGCATGAAGTTCCCTATGGAAAATACAGCTTGTAGTCAGATTCACAAAGCCTCCGGCCTTGCAAAATGCCCCCCAGGCACTGCCCCGTACATTTTGGGATACCAGGGAAGGATTCTGAATGTAAGGGATTAAGGGTTTTAATCTGGTAGCTCAGAGTTGTGGCGACATGAAGCCCACCCCTTTTGTGCTAAGCTCCTCCCACTTTAAATATCTACACCATTGGTAGAAAGTATAAATGGTCCATCTTGCCCATCAGTACTAAGAATGATAGTTGATTCCTATTGCAAGCTATGTTTTTTCCTGAGGCTTTTTTGTAGTACATTTCAAGTCAACCTGTGTGCACAGAGTACTCCTTATACAAAGAGGATTACTGTTCTCTGTGCTGTATGTTGTGCACAGAGCGTCTCCCTAATATTTTTCCATATGGATTGAAGATGGGGGACTGCTGAAGGCACTGTGAACCTAGGAACAAAAATGCATCTAATCTGGGTTCCCCTGTATATGGCCTGGTTCAGAGCTTCGGGTGTCATAACCAAAAACAACGCATTTGTAATCACAACAATTGTAAACTAAGTGGCCACTTCACATCTGTGTACTACATTGAGGTGTATTTGTAAAAATGAGGCTTGTCCATGTTCCTGTGTGTTTCAAGTCCAATACAAGTCTATGGAAGCTCCTAAAAATGCTCTATACATTTGAATGAGTTTTCAGTATGCTGTGGGTGAGCACAGGGTAGCATGCCATCCCGTAGTATCAAGTCTTCCCATGGTTAACTGCCATGTGGTCACCCACATACAAACAAGATGGCTGACATTGTGGCACTCCCCCTCCTCAACCGCTAACATCACTATTAAAAGATAGATAGAGACGCAGAAGAGTCTGGGAAAGCTTGGCTGGCAGAGTCTTCCCACAGTTGGGGATGTATTCTTCCTCTGCCTGGAAGAGAAAAGTCCACATCAATGTTGTCACTGCAGCAAACTAATCCTCATTGGCTAAAAAAACAAAAGCTTACCATGCATTAAAACACATTTAAAACACATATTCAAAAATGCAGTAAAGCAGACAGATGCGAGTCCGGCTTATGAATCTCTTATCATTTAGACCTTTCGTTATATTACTTTGTCGCAGCTGACTCTGTCAGCTGAGCGCCAGTTTGGTTCATTCTCCACTGATAAAATGTCTTAGAATTTCTGAGCAGTCAGTAAACTCTATAAAATCAATAAATTTCTCGAAGAAGAAAAGTCAGTTAAACTGGGTCAGAGATTAACATAATTAAAAAATGTTAATGATGTTCGTTTGATGTTACAGAATATACCTTGCGCCTTTGCTAGATCCTTCGCCTCCTTATCTGCAGACGTCTGCTTTTCATCACAGAAAGCATTTCAGCGGCTGCATTTGCTGAAAAATACAGGGAAATTATTTTGTTATTTAGGTTAAATGAAGCAGTCTGGAATGAATGATAAGACGAGACTTTGTGAGCAGCCACCCATAATCCCTTTTAATATCAGGTGCCCCCTTCACACTAGAGTTATCTCCTTTCATATCAGGAGCCCCCTACACTTTAGTATCCTCTTTTTTCATATCAGGAGCCCCCTTCACTTTAGTATCCTCCTTTTTCATATCAGGTGCCCCCTTCACACCAGAGTCCTCCCCTTTCATATCAGAAGCCCCCTCACATCATAGTCCACCCCTTTCACATCAGAAGTCCCCCCACATCATAACCCCCCCCCCCCTTCAAATCAGGAGCCCCCTCCACATCAGATTCCCCAATGTAGCAAACATTTAAAGGCACCTCTGAGGATCTAGAAGTGTGATTGAAGGACGTACACAGCCACTTGGAGGTGCCTGCTTGATGGTTTGGGTCACTTTAGGAACCCTTTCCCAAGTTCTGTTGCTCTTTCTGTTTGTCCACTTTAAATGTCTGGCACTATTTGATTCCTATTTTGTCCTCCTTGCAGCCCCGCCATGTTTTCAACATGCTGAAGAAATATGTTCGCGCTGAGCAGAAAGACCGACAACACACCCTGAAACACTTTGAGCATGTCCGCATGGTGGATCCCAAGAAAGCTGCTCAGATCCGATCCCAGGTATAATAATTGCTGTTGGTTTTATCTTTGTAAATCATTTTTATATTTACAGCTTAAAGTGTATCTAAAGCCAAGAAAACAAATGTGATATATTGAAACTTATCAGTCTACACATGTTGTGGCTAATAAGGTTTTTTTGCCTTCCTCTGGATCAACAGTGGGTAACTGTGGACATAGCGTTCTGTTTTAGGTTTTTCTTTTTTTTCTTTTCTTCTCTTATCTCTATAGGTTGAACTCGATGGACTTGTGTATTTTTTTAACCTGACTAACTATGTCACTATGTGGCTGAATTAGTTTCCTTTCTTCAGGCTTTTGACCTTTAATCCTGCCAGCAACACACTTCCTGTCACTACCCACTTAGTGTACTGATTTATGGCAAAGCAGCATTGTCACCCTAGGCTACTAAATTCGAAATTGGATTACAAATACCCCTCTGCTCTCCTTGTCTCCATAACACGGGGGGTTGGTGTTCTGTAGTTCACAGAACAGTACTGGTAAGAGCTGATAACATGTTTGACGTTCAGTAGACAGGACGTTAAAAGTTCAGTAGACAGGACGTTAAAAGCACAATGGATTTCTGGAAGGATTAGCATGTACCTTTCTGTTGCTGCAGAAAATGTACTTAACCTGAAAAATTATAGCTAATGCAACCACCACATCAAAGGGCCGGTTAGCTGCTTTATATATTTTTTTCCATTTCCTTGTGTTTAAGGGGAATCAGGCTGATGTTTTATGGAAAGCACTTTTTTTCTTGCCTTTGTGGCCCGGCAGGTAAACATACATTTACAAAGAACTCCACCCTATCGAACAGAGCGTTAAAAGTTGGATTTTCAGTTGGATTTGGGGAAACCACTAGGGAAATGTGTTGTGTTGACCTGTTTCAATTGCTTTTGTTTGATTTGTTCATTGCAAACAACTGAGAGTTTGTAAATGTTGCCAATAAACCTGATTTGCAATGGGGTTGAATTATTTTGATTACAACTGTAGATGAACCTATGTCAGCACTTATGTTACATAACGTGCCATGGACCATAGGGTAATCGATTTACACTGGCCTTATATAAAAGGTAAAAGCTTAAGGCCAATCCGCTTATATTTTGTCTTCCCTGGTTTCTTTCTTTCCTCTTATCAAATTACATTTTTTAAATGAAGCCTTTCCGTTTTCAGTACTTACCAAATTTTAGACTCAGTGGTGTTATTGCTGGGTCCTGTGCTTCTCTGTGCAGTGCAGGCAGATCACGGCTTGCGGGAGGGGTCAGCAGGGTGCTCTACATAGCTTCCTGAAAACATCACAGCAGCCTGCCTCAGTACTCTTTTTAAGAGCCCTGTTGCAAGCGGTGGGCTAGTTCTTGGGAAGAGTTATGCAAATATGAAATTGCCTACATAGGCGGATGTCAGTCTGGAGAAGTGGGCGTTCCTAGGCGAGCTGCATTTGCATGCAAACCACTCTAGGTAAGGAACTTAAATCTAATTAATAAAAGGGAGCGCCAGGGTCAGAAAGAGTTAGATGATACTGGATGATACTGTATCTGACTTGCTGCACCTTCTAATGCACAATATGAGAAGCTCACAGTGTGCAATAAAATCAGAGGAAGCAATTTCAGTACATTACAACTGTACAAAACTGAAGCCAAGGCTGGAATTCAGCTTTAAATACTTATAACGTTGAGAAATATTGATGTAAATGAGCTTATTCAGTGAAGAATGGTTAATCAGGTCTGAGTGTGCCAGAGTCGGATCCTTGAACAATGAATGCTGCTGCACATTGATGCTTGTCTTGCTGAATGAGCCGTATTGTCTGCAGTGCTGGTGTAGAAGATGATGCTTATACTCAGCCCTGTCTGGTCACTAGAAGAGTTAATTCAGGAGCTGCACATAATAGATCATTGTGCCTCTAATGTGCTATTGATCTATTGCCGACAGATTTATGCATCTGGAAACAGATGACTACCACTGGCATGATTGAAAAAAATGGCTTATGCTGGTATATTTTGGTCCAGAGTCAATTTGTAGATCTAATACAAGTGCTGCATGACTGCTGATCCAGTCCGAGCTGTTAATCTGAGCATGTTGAGGTTTATTAGCATTCAGACTCTGCTGCAGACCAATTTCTGTTAATCCATTAAGCGTAATAGCAGATGAGGAATCTTCCAAAGAGACAAAGTCTCTCTGTTCTCCAGGAAGCATGTACGGCGATTGTGCTGCTGTAAAATTGCTGTGACGGTTGTTTTGTGACATTTGGATCTGTCGGCCAGCTGTGCCGCCGGATTTTCTGTCCAAGATCTTAATACGGTGCTTAATGTTGCAGGAATAGTCATTTCTGAAGCTTCCTAGACCCCCATTGCCGAGGAATAGACCCCTGCTAAGTGCATTCACTTACTGTAAATGGCTTCCTGGCTCCTGCAGTGGGGAGTGTTAATGAACATTAGGAGTGTCTGATTTTAGTTTATTTATTTTACTCATTTGTGGTTTTCTGCAGCAATTTACTGAGAACATTGAGCCATTCACATTAATCCCCTGCCCGAGAAGGAACTCGCAATCTGTTGACACGACCCCATTTGGAAGGAAGCCACTAAACCTACTGATAGGGAATAATGTATATTCAAGGACGAAACTTTTTTTTTTTTTAAGAGTAGGGAAAGGTTAAAAGCTCTAATTCTCTACACCACAAAAATATGAGTCCAAATCCCTGAAGCATCCCCCCTCCACCTTTCTTCCCTGTTTCTCTTCCCTGACCCCATATTTCTGTCTTTCCTCCCATTTTCTCTGGTTTTGCAACAGTTTCCCCCAACAAGGGTTACTCCTTGCTCCATGAAACGTTCTCTTCACCACCAATCCCTCCACCGTTATTAATATATAAATAATAATATTATTATTCAATAAAAATAATAAACTTCACAAATGCAAAACATTTCTTGTTTGCACAGTCAGGAAAAGTTATACAGATATTGTGCTGCAGCTGATCTCTATTATAGCAATACTATGTGATGCAATGTGTTTCAAGTGATCTATTGTATTGCATCTCCTTTACATATACTAATCTACTGTCCATTGTACTGGTTTCCAGTCCTAAATAGAGAAATTAAAAGAAGTAACAAAGTGGCAGGCTACATTCCACACTGCCCCCCCAATTAAATGTTTGTGTGCAGAGGACATCTTTAAGTCTATGTGGCTCTGTACTATTTTGTACATAAATCTGTCTCATTGTAGCTTGTGTTAGTGTTTCTTATTGTAGCTTTCTGCTGTGTGAAATCTATCTTGAAAAGATTTTATTGATGGCCTGTGTTGTGCGGTATCAGCATAATAATGCTTCAGAGAGAAGCGATGCCATCTCTGAGATTTAGGAGTGCCGTCAGCAGTCTTTTACTATTTACAATGCTCGTAGGAAGCTGCCTTTGTTTTCCATGAGTATTAAACATGCCATATTTCTTGTAGGTGATGACACACCTCCGTGTGATTAATGAGCGGATGAATCAAAGCTTCTCTCTCTTATACAAGGTCCCCGCTGTGGCTGAGGAGATCCAAGATGAAGTTGGTAAGTGAGCTGCTTGGTGGGTATAAAGTGCCCAAAGAAGTAACTGTGTTACCCATGGCAACAAGTCAGAATTTCCATTTTATGTTCACAAGAAGGTTAATAAAACTGAAATAAAAAAGGTGCATGGCTTCCAGGAGTGACACGGACCTTTTTTTTCTTTCAGACACTTCCTTGTGCAATGTTAAAAACCTTATCCTTTTATGTGTGAAAGCAGAGCCAGATCTTCCCCAAGGAAAACCTAGGCAGGACTCTAGGGTTTGGGGAAGTGCTGGGGGCGCAGGTACAACCCACATTCTCCTGCAGTAAATCAGGGAGGTAGCACAGTTGATCAAAGCTGTGCACCTTCCTGTTGCCTTACAAGGTTCATGGATGTACTTGTAGGCAGTTTGTGTCTGATGGAGCTATGTCAGACCGGATAATGCAGATGGAGTGGTTTATATGTCTATGGCATTTCTTATACATGTCAGTTGAAGGTATTGGGGGGTCATAGCAAGTGCCTTGTCGAGGGCCCCTTTCTGCCTTATTTAATCTCTGCTTTATGCCCCACTCACACATGAGCATTTTCTGACCATTTTAAAGCGTATTTCATGTGTTTATCTTGTATTTTCATGCTTCGGGTGTTTTTTGTTTTGGCCAATGGAAAGTAGTATCATCTGTGATTTCATACATCATCATTGTCCTTGTATCCCCTTCCTGGTTTTTCGGTGTGGTGCCTTGTGCTTTTGTAGCTCCCAATCCATCCAGTTTCTTCCCAGGCCCTCTGCTGCTTTCTACGCTTCTTATAACGGGCACACTGGGGTGGTAGAGGTTCATGTGGGTCCTCACCAGACAGACAAATGTCTCCACATCCAGTATAGACACTCCTGAATCCTCCGTTCACAGGCCTGAGATTGCAAGGAGGAGGAGACTGGTTGTTAGATGCAACAAAATGCACTAAATCACTTCTGTTGCAGATTTTCAGGCACTTCCATTGAAGTGTGTGAGGCCAAAAACATGATTCAGAAATAAAGCGTGTGCACTTTTTCACACGACAATCAGCAGCGTGATGCCCAGGTGTAAACCGGCACCACCAAATACTATGGCAATGTTGAGCGTTGCCATGCTTCTGGAAATGCAAAGCAAATCACTCAACTTGAATTGGGGCTGCATCTATTTTACTTTTCAGCTTTATTTTCCCAAAAATGAATTGCAGTCCGAGAATCAAAAATTTCATTGGAGAACAGATACCCTTTAAAGTAAATCTGTCATAAAAAAAAGTTTCGAGCAACAAGCACCAGCATAAGAATGTAATTCTTTCATGCTGAATCTGCTTCTAAGATACACTGTAACCTTGCCCCCAAACTGCACTATACCCACCTTACTAGTGACCACCTACCGCTCCTTCCTTATTTGCAGCCAGCATTAAAATGAGCTGTGTCAGCTACCTGGGGGGGATGATGTCACTGTCACAAGGTGAGGAGTTCTCATGCTCCTCCATACCCAGAATGTGGGGTATTGTGACAGTGACGGGTGGGGTGAGACTCTGGTAAGGTGAGCATGGGGGTGGGGGTCTTTTCAAAGACGCTGTCACTTTGCCGTGGATGAACAAGATGACAATGTCTCTTTACGTGGCGAACTGTGAGCAAAAACCTACAGTAAAGCACCCTTCTTGCAATTAATCACTCTTCTCCCTGGCCAAATCCTTAAACTTATATAACTGTGCTTGCCCAATTCCTAAAATATGGCCGCAACTCTTAATCTTTTTTCTCTGCACTTAATTCCTAACTTTCCATCATACTTCTTAACAGGCTCCCCTTTAAACACTTAGGGCCCATTCACATCAGCAGCTGCGCTACAAACCAACGGCTGCTGGTGTGCATTGCCCGGCTACAATGCAGTGGTGTGAACTGATTCCATCTAAAACAAGGAAATTGTCTTGTGTTGGGGCTGCGCTGGCCATTTTTTCCAACGCATCTAGTCTGAATTCAGCCTTGTAGTTGTGACTTTGTCACTTAAAGAAGAAAAAAAAAGAAAGTTGCTAGCAGGTATTAAGTTCAGGCACCTGGACGTGCACATACCTGCAACAGTTTTCATACATCTTTGCTAGGACTGAATGCTGACCTTTCTCAATGGGTCAGTTCTGGGTAGTATTAGAGTTTTACTTGTCCCCTCCTGCCTCGCCACACATTCCTAGTGGGCCTTCACCATGATGAGCCGCCTCCTTGGCCAACAGGAATGTTTGTGAGGCTGGTGAGAGCAACCAGGCTCAGAAAGGGGGAACTCCTTCCTTCCTTTTTTTTTTTTTTTTATTATTATATTAACTAAAACTTTTCCTCTCTTATATCCAATTACTAAACTGTTGTCATTACCCTTAGAGCTTATCAGTACAGTGTTTGTTATGGATCTGAATGCTGGTGTATTGTCTTCTAAGGACCCATGAACACAGTACATACAGATCATTAAATTGGCGCTACATCAAGATTCTTAAAATCAAAATTGTAAAATCTACGTCTCAGGTCCTGTTTATGGACCATATTTTACGCTATGTGCATGTAAATGAAAACAAAATCCACAAGATTCTTCCTACACTCAAAATAGTAGTTGATTGAAAAAAATCTTAATTTACTCCGCCATACGAAACTCTGCAGTTGTGTATGAGATAGAATAAGACAACCTTGCAGCTTCCTGCCTCTTCTTCAATTTGCATATAACCTATAAATCAGACAAGGACAGTGAGATGAAGTAATTGATGGCTAATAGGCTCTTCGTGCCGACATCCAAGAGATGACTGTGCTTGCTAACTTGCAGCAGAGCGTATTTGACCTGTTCCTTGTGTTGTGTTTAATTATGTGTGTGTGGCTGTGACCATTACATCATTCTCCATAACCCAGAGCAAAATAATTGGGGACTTCCCCTATGAGAGAGGACGCTTTTATTATGGTCATGTTGGAGAGAATAGACTTTAACATTGAAAAATTTGCTCTTGGGCTCCCATGAAATATAGCACATATGATGTAGCCAAATGGTGCTTACACAAAGCTAAAATCCTTCAGCGGGGTTGCCATTTAAAGGACAGTGAACCGTAATCTCAAGTTGCCTTACATAGTGTCAAATGAGAATTTGTGTTCTGCTGGGGGGACAGATACCTTGAGACTGTGATATCAGGGGGCACAGCAGTGCAGAAGTCTGCTTCTATTCTACATCATCATTGCTTGGATAGCTGCTAGGCACAGCACTGTTCACACTAGAGATCAGTCAGTGATCAGTCAGTGATCAGTCAGTGATCAGTATGCTAAACATGTGTTGATATTTTTCCAAATACATTTAGATAATTATGATAATTAAAACTTTTAGAAATTTAGAACTTGACAACTGTTTTATGTAAATAGAAGATTGCCTGAGGCAGAGCTGGTTGTCTTCAAAGCTGTATATAGCTAATGGGTCCTGGGGTGCAGTCATTCAGATATAATGAAGCTCTGTGCAGCCATTCAGATATAATGAAACTCTATGCAGGGTTCAGATATAATGGAACTCCGCTCAGCTGTTCCGATATAATGGAACTCCGCTCAGCTGTTTCCGATATAATGGAACTCCGCTCAGCTGTTTCCGATATAATGGGACTCCGCTCAGCTGTTTCTGATATAATGGAACTCTGTGCAGTCATTCGGATGTAATGCTACTCTATGCAGGGTTCAGATATATAATGGAACTTTGTGCAGCCGTTCAGATATAAAATAACTCTTAAGTAATTTAGATAGAATAGTACTCTAAATAGTGTGCATTTGTCCAGGTATAATGGAACTCTGTGCAGCCATTCAAATATGATGTAACTGGATCAAAGCAATGATGATGTAGAATAGAAGCAGATACCTGAAATGGGTTCTCCTGTGATACCTTTTAATTATTTTAAAGTGACTCTGAAACATTACCCAAAAAAAAGATGTTCTGATTATAAAATATAGGCATTTAAAGGTGCCTGCACATATACGTACAGCAACTTTCAGTCCTCATATTCTGCTTAAATGGCAGGCCATTCTTTTCTATCAAACCTCTGACACTTCCTGGGAGGATTAAAGTTGGCCCATTTCCTCCACCACACATACATTACTATTGGCCCATCACTTAGTGGGTTGTCTCATAGCTATCAGGAATGTAAGGGAATCTTGAGGAGACAAGCACACTTCCACCCTATCAAGAGGTTCTAAGGGCTAGTTCACACCAGATGTAGTTGTGATGCAGTTCGTTCAGTTTGGCTGCTGCATGAAAATCGTGTCACAATGCTTTCCAATGGGATTTCTGGTGCTCTGTTCACACCAGCGCAGTCCGTTCCAATGCAGTCAGAAAAAATACTGCTTCTCATTTTAGCTGGACATGATTGCAACGGAATGCATCAAAAACGCATGAACGCACTGGACTGCACCTGAAAGCCCATTTTCAGCTAAAAAAAAAAGCGTCAGTCACAGAAATATTGCAGTCAAAACGCATCGCACTGCAGCTGCGCAGACGCACGCTGCTATGGTGTGAACTAGCCCTAAAGCTTAACCTGTACAGAACAACCTGATGGAGAGGGTGGAGATTAGTTCTGAATGTGTGAACTCTATATTAGTTGGCAGTGTTTGGTTTTCTTTTTAAGTGATAATCACTTTAAGAAGGCATCCACTGCCACTTCAAAAATATCAGCCCCCTTTCCTCAACACAACAGCCCTTTGACCGAGAGATCAAGCTTTTGTTCCTCTGGCACGTACACAGCATTAGGAATCTTGCTTTCTTAAGGGCTGCCATTCCATATTAGAACCCAGAGCAGCCACAAGCAATACTTGAATTTTCATTTCAACTGAAAATCCCCTTAAAGCTTTTCTTTAAATAAATACATAATTATTCATCTTGAAATGTTTTGTTTAGACACTGCATCCCCCCACCCCAATCATATTGTGATTTAAATTCCATTATGCATATGGTGTGATCATTCTTGTTATTGCTTTTTGTATCCCACACTATATCATGCCAGCGCCCAGAGCAAAGTTCCTCATCAATTGTGCTCGCTCAATCACCAACCTATTTTTCCCCTCCAGCGTCCACACACAAAGCCAAATACATGTTATTACAGAACTAAGCAGAATGTTAGTGGCGTTTTGTGGCTGTAGAGCCCTCCTCACACTTCCCAGGTCATTTATTTGTGTACATTCAGACGTGATTATGGTTCTTGCTGTCTGCTGTTTCATCTTCCCCATTTTCCGGAGCTTCTTGGCTCATTAGGAGCTCCTCTCACTGCTCGTTCTCTGTGGGATCCCGCTGCTAGAAAATTTACTTAGCAGAGCAGATCTGCACTCGCGGCCTCCTTGGGTTAGTCATTAATGTACAGCAGTTCTGTGAAATTAGCCGTTTTATTTTTATAGTCGTACCCCAGATAATGTCAAGTTGTTTTAAGGAATTCATTTAGTCAGCTGTGGTGGAATATAGTATTAAAAAGGGGCTGTCACTGTGTATCCGGTCCTGTCACGCTTCCTAGCAGACCATTCTGTGCTCCTTGCTATCCTGGCTTGTTCTGTGTTAAATGTGGATTCAGCGAGGATGTGTAGACAGGATATGAAAAACACTTTCAGGCATCGTAACAGAATCTTAAAGTAAATCTGTCATGTGGTGATATGGAAGATACCATTGTTGGCGGCATTTTGAAAATAATTCCCAAGCCCACCAGGTTAAAACAAAACAATGCTGTATACTTACCTTTCCGACACCCGGGTCTCCAAACTCTGCTGTGTTGTTCATCCCCGTCTGCCGCAGGTAAGCAGGTGTGGAATACCTGTTCTCCTGCCACATTCTGTGGTTCTTCTCTCCGGCTTGTACATCCTGTAGTGACGTTGGAGTGCTGGCGGGTGGGTTTAGTTTAGGTTATGTCCTATAGTGCAATATCATTCAAATGTTTTCAACCTGTGCTGATAAAAATATGAACACCCATTTAGGCACATTAACTAGGTCTCTCCTGAGATTTGTCCAGCACTGGGCTCAAAGTTGAATTGGGATCAAATCCAGAGGTCCTCTTGTACTGGTGCTCTAACCTGTACTGCAAGGGTTAAATTATGATATTTGTCTAGGAGAACGTTAAAAAAAACATTATTACTTACCTTGTCCCTCGCTCACGCAGACTTCTTACCAGCTGAAGGTCCAGTCCCACGTTGCCAATTCCCTTCAGTCACAAGCACACTGACGACATCACGTATAATGCAGGACCAGCAGTTCTGCATTGTAAGTGAGGTCAGCAAGTGCTTGCCCACAGCTGGAGTGTCCAAGAGAAAAGAGTGGGTCACAGGGGGAGCAAGGGACAAGGCAAGTCAAATTGCTTTTTTTTTGTTTTCCAAGACAAAAATGAGCATTTAACTCTTTCAGTGTAGGGAGAGCCCCACTGCAAGGTAACTTTGGATTTTACCTGGAGTTCAGCTTTAACTATAACTACAGCTTGCTATATTACATTATCTGGCCAATTTTCGCCTTATCTGGATAACTGTAGCTCAGCCCGTCGTATCATTTTTAATTGATTGATTGGTAAGTCCCCATATTCGATTATGATCAGACTGCACACGGAGTACTTTGTTTTTGGCTTCACATTGCCCTCAGTGCCTCTTAAAGTGTATGAAAACCATCAACCATCATCACCTGGAAAACCAGAAATTAACTTTTCCTATTTGCGCCTTTTTGTCTGCTAAATAAACAATGGAAAGTGTTTTGCTATATCTGCTTAATAAGTGCAACAAATACCTGTTTTGCTAGAAAACTTGTGAACTGATAACTTCCTGTGTTCTCTACCTGTACACATGGAGGGGTTGTGGAGATGAGAAAGGGTCTGTGTTCTTTGTAATCCAAGAAATAAGCTAGGCAGGGCTAACACCATGTGCTTAGGAATTCAGAGCTGTGTTGTCATGTCACAGAGGAAGGTAGGGATGCATATTTTTGTCATTTTATTCCTGTATTTGCAGCATGTTCAAAGGGATAACACTGAGAAATGGGTATATATTCCAGAGATGTACTTTTTTATTTTTTTTTTGCTTTGACATACATCTGGTAAAACATCTGTAAAGTTATAACAGAAAACAGCTTTTATCAGTGCAGGGGATTGCATTCCTACCTGTTCTTCTAAGTGAGGGAGTGGAAGTAAGAGGAAATGGCACTGCTCTTTAATCTAAATTTCAGGCAGAAGAAAAGGAAGGACTGCTGTTCTGCCTCTACTACGGATGGATATTTTGTAATATCAAAAAACAGCTTGTATTATGTCCCCTGTAAAACACCAGCGTGATCATCTTACTGGCCATGGGTTGTCATCCAGTTTGGTTATGCAGGAACAGTCATTGCAGACATCTAATGCGAAAATTCTAGTTGCCTGGCTGTCATTCTGCTCTAACGGCCTCAATACTTCCTGAGACGGTAATCAAATTATCCAATAAAGCACTCTGGCATTATGCATGCATTTTGTAGGTCAGGGACTCAAAAAGTAATAAAGCCAAAGGATAAGAATTTACTTTTTCAAGAGAAGGTCAGTAACAACAGACCCTGTATTTTTCTTGGCTCCACTTTATCAAATGTAGTCTGCAACACTTTTCATCTGCTTGGTATTGGCAGAGGCTCTTGTATATTTTAATACGGTATGAGACCAAGCTCGAAATGGTAATAAAGAATACTCTAAAATAAGTTATCTTTCCTCCAGATGAACTATTCCAAAAGGAGCAGAACTATTCTGATGATGTTTTGTCCAACATGGTCAGTGAGCCCAGGATCAGTTATGGTAATGATGCCCTCATGCCCTCTCTTACTGAGACCAAGACCACCGTAGAGCTTCTTCCAGTGGATGGCGAGTTTAATGTTGATGATCTGCAACCATGGCATCCATTTGGTGTAGACTCTGTGCCTGCAAATACCGAGAATGAAGGTAAGATATGGCTATAAAAGGGGGTGGTGGGGGCGCATGCATGTATGTGAAAGAGATTGTTGCACGTTCTGCAATTCCTACTATTGTTATGCCGCAAATGTCCTGCATGGTTATAACTATGTAAATATTCCACTGAAAATAATATTTTGCAGACCCAGTTCCAGATTCTTCTTAAAGAGATTCCCCAGTAGAAAAATTAAACCACTTCTACACTCAAGAAATGGGGCTGTTAAGTTATATGCAGCCCTGAAAACATTAATTGCCCCAGGATGTCAAATGGCCCTGGCCAATCTGAGCCCTTATGTGAAAACCACCATGGCAAGGCAGGCTGGTTGTTGGAGGAGCTACAGCCTTAGCAGCTCAGTTTTGTGAATATCTTTGGTGGCAACTAATGGGCACCTTACCCATGTGGTCACAAGGGCCCAGACTTGACATAGCCTTTAACAATTTCCTGGATAACCTGTTTGAAGAATGTATAGTTGTTGAGCAATAACAGGGACATACAAATATTTTTTTTATTTTTTTTTACTGACAACTTGGACTGAACACAACACTTTAGTAATGTGTTCTGTTTGTTTAAATATGTAGAAATTGTAAAGTAAAGCAAGGTTATGTGTACATGGTTTATGGTGATCTCTCTGCATTCATGTCCATTTGTCTCACAGTTTACTTACCAATGGGTGATCTAAATTTGGAAAATTGTAAGAATTGTCCTCTTACCTCCTAATATTAAATACCCATTCTGATTAATTACCCTCTTGCAGACTTAAAGGGAGCCTGTACCATGGCCCCTAGGGTAGAAACATGGCCCCTATCATTGCTGACTATTTTTTAATGCTTCAGATTCCTGGGCTGTCACCTTAGGTAAGTCAGTCACTTGGAATAAACATGTCGGTTGGAAGGTCTATATTCAGTGGCTGTGGTTTTGTTCTTTGACAGTGATTCACTAGGTTGTGAAGCTAAGATCAGGATGGCAGCTCTGGAACCTGCAGCTTAAAAACAAAGGTCAAGCATTAGAGTTCCCATTTCTCTTATTGACAGGTTGACTGTAAAGTAAACTTGATAGCTCCTTCAAGGTGCAAAAAAATGCTGGTAAAATATAGAAAAGTATGTGGTATCTTGAAATCAGGGTCTTTGTTCCTAAGGAGGACCCTGGATTCCAGGCTGGTGCATTTAGGGACTTATCTGCTGTCCAACTTTGCATGAAACCCGTTCATTCCACCGTTTAACAATCCAAAGCTGGAGCTTACCCTGGTCACTAAGGTTTTAGCATTGGCCAGTTAAAATTTAAGGGCAAGGCTTAGCACCAGGAGGGATCAGACCTTGCACTACCTTGGACAAAAGTTAAGGGCCCTGTGTTCAGGCTGGGTCTGGGATACAAGGTCCTCCTAGGGCACATGAGAATTAATCTAAGGATACTCGATACTTATATTTTTACTTTGTTAGTATGTGCATTTTGTAGGACCTCACAAGTTCATTTTAGCAGTAAAACTGAAAAAGCTCATGCACACGTACCAAAAAGGAACCCATACAAAGAGAGAGATGATCGCCCTTCAGGTGCTCATAACAATAATGCAATATTTAACTTTAAATCTGTATGACCTACGAGGATTAATTCCCAACCTGTTGCACTATTGACAAGGAGTAACTTACTTTAGTTACGTATCCTGAATGTTTTAGCTTGTGCCTTCCATCAATTGCTTGGATGGTATCAGTAGATAGTGTCAAAGTTTGACAATAACCAAACAAAACATTCCAAGATCAAGCATTGTCCAACTCTTGTGCCCAGATTTTATGCATGCCCACACGAATGACATCAGAGACATCCATATTGTGCAAAAAAAAAAGTGTTCAGCTGTATTTGGGGATCTTATCTTTACTTGATTTAATCCACACAATGCAGTCATGTTATTGTAGGTGTAGATACAGAGAGCCCCAGTACCAGCCTGTGCACCTCTTCCTTTTGTCCTGTTTGTCTGGCAAATTAACCCAAGTGAGATGTAAACTTCTGTCCTGTTATTTTTCGTCTGTCATTCCAATCCTCTTAGCCAATAATGTATTGCTATTTTTGTTTATTTGCTTGTTCTTTTGTTTTATTGTTTTGCTGCACGTGCCCAGTTGAACCAGTTGATGCTCGTCCCGCTGCAGATAGAGGACTCACCACACGGCCAGGTATATAACTTGCTTTGCATTTCACAGTCACTCCTTAGCATGATGTAAAGTTGCATGAAGTGTTGTGACTCAAATTTGTGTTGATCTGTTGTGCCATTTCTGTAAGTTTCCTAAAATCCCTTTGTTTTCTCTAGTTGCATGTTGCATAAATAGAATTTATCATCATACATGCATAGGAAAACCATATTATCATCCATTCCACTGTAAATGCATTTTCAGTCTGTTGTATAATCTTTATGGTATTTTGTTGATGGCACCTCTATACACAGCTAAATTTTCATACCGATCACATGTCATTCTTCCAAGATTTCACCCATAAAAGGCTGGGTTGTTTCCATTCCTGTACATCTTTTATATCAAGATTTTTTTCTCAACACCACTCGCAAGGTTATGCTTGTGTCTTGTCCTGAAGGTTTCATTTCTCCCTGTCCTGTCTTCATAATGTCTTCTTCCTATCCATATCATTGCCACAAGCTCTGGCTCTTCGCTGTTCCAACACAGAAAGACCTTTATCTTCCCAGCTTAAGTCCCACAGGGATTTTCACCTTTTACTACTTTTCTGTCCCACCTTTAGAATGTTTGACTCCCTTGCAACCAAGGAAAGTCTAAACTCCAGCCATTGGTATGCCATATCCATTAGGTCCCTGTATGAGAAAAAAAAAGTTTCACCTTGCACCCTAGCTTCTTTCAAAGCTCGACTTAGTGAGGTTGACATTGCTGAGCCTTTTCCTGGCATTCTGGAAATGCTGAGAAACCCAAACCTCCACAGAAGGCACAGTTGTCTGCTCTCTACGCAACCAGTTTTATAGGATAGACTCCTGATATTTTTTTTTTTTATAAATATTTATTTAATTACATTTTCAACAAATGTACAAAACACCATCAGATTCACTTCATCCATATAGAGGCATCAGACTTCTGATGAATTTGTGTGAATCTATTTAGCTTTATACTTCCAACATAATTTCAGTCTTATAAAATGCCAATCGAGTTACTTAAATGAGTTTTGTTGTGGAACCTTTTTAGCAATCTGAATGTGGAAATTAAAATGAAAAAAAAAAAAATCACATGGCATATGCCCATTGTTTTGTGAAAATGGCATTTTGCTGATGTAGTCTGCCATCCATCTGTGAAGAGTACACAGGCATACAGCCCCTTTTTATGTTACTTCTTGCTCAAAAAGCAATTTGGATCCCTTTTGACTGTTTATTATTTATTGTAAAAGTAGCATTGTCCCAGCCCACATCCAGTGTTCTAGAAAAGCATTCAGCTCTGAAAGCTTGTGACATGCCTTCAATGCCATCTTTAGTCATCCTGACTCATTTGAAAGAATTCAATCCATTTACCGCAGTGCTCTTATTTTCTATTGCGTCTCGTTACAATGTATAAAAATTGTTCGGTTTGGAGACCTAGTTTAGATTGTATTGTTTTCTATTTTAACATAAAGGAACAACGCCAAGTTTCATTCTCCAATAATGTAGACTGGTGGGAAGTGTAGTAGGAAGAAAACAGGCAAACAAATGAGCAGACGGAGAATAACCATTTGCAAAATGTGAGATCTGACTCAAAGACCATTTAATCTTTCTGATTTTATTTCACCGTTGAAAGTGCATACCATGGGAAGTGCCCATTTACTGCCCGTGAGATATTCACATGTAGTCGCACATTATCTCTGTTCATGTTAGTAATGGATAGAGTGGTGAGGAGTTAGAACAAGGATTCCTCTGCGGTAACAAGTTCAGAAAGGCTGGTTTCAGTTATGAAGGTTCTATGGCAAATAGAATCAGTTACTGCCCTTGCATTCTACCCGGAATCTGTAGAAATCGTATGTACTAGTTATAGTTTTTGTTTTCTTTTTGTCATTACGTTTAACGGTGCAGACTCCAGTAAATCCAGTCTTTACTCATTTGCAGAGCTAGAAGCATTGCTCGGCTCTTCAGCATCTAACACTTCCAGGTGAGTCGGATGCAGACATCTCCGGGTTTTACCCGGCGGCTGCTGTCACTAATGCATCCCTGTAGCTCTGAAGGGACACACTGGTGAAGTAACAGTCGTATGCTGGATTCACAGAGAACAGTGGGGAGATGCATGCTTCTGATACACCTCTGGAAGTCTCTGGTTCTAACATTGACTAATTAGGTGATGGTTCGCTTTTACTTGCAAGAATCCTTTTCCCTAAACTATTTGTACATAGAGATCTGTAGGTAAACCACTAGAGGGACATCTGTATTTCACTGCAGTCTCTCACCCTCTATGATTATGATTTCAGCCACAGCAAGTGTATTCCGCCGGGTTCATGGCTCATTTCTTCCGGTCAATGACACTAGAACAGACTTATTTTAGACAACTTCTCCCTTATCCTTATCAAATTACCAAGTTAGAGGGATATGACCACCTTGTACAAATACATAAATGGCCCATATCGCAAACTCTGTAGAAAGTTGTTCACTTTAGAGTTCCCACCAAAGATGTACGGTTTGGCTTGGCATTCTCTCATGACTGGAGAATGAGAAGTTTAACCTCTGTATACGGCAAGGGATCTGTACAGTAAGACCTGTGGCACTGTGAAATTGCCCTCCATAGGAACTGGTTCTGGTTGCTACTACTATTTGTAGGAAATAAAAATATATAAGAATTGTTAGTCCAGGGAGTTTTCTGATTGCCTTTGGGGATCCTTATCAGAACATGCTTTGGGGGGGGGGGGTTTGCCCTCCTCTGGATCAACAACAGGTTAAGGAATTTTTTTTTCATTTAGCAGGACAAAAAATACTCAACCTGATTAACTATGTAACTTTATGATCCACTTTGTATTTGTAATGTGTTAAAGAGAGCTACTTCTGCAAGGTGCAGTAATGGTGATTTTTCTTTTTTTTTAGGATCAGGGCTTACCAATATTAAAACAGAAGAGATCTCAGAAGTAAAAATGGATGCTGGATATGAAGTACATCACCAGAAACTGGTAAGTCTCCAATAATGGCCCCTTTGTTGTATTATTGGGCTGCTGTACAAGGTCCCTATGGGCCTAATGCCACAGTCACTTCAGCTGGCCATACACTGCTTAGATTTTCAAAAGAATTTCCATATGAAAGAATGTTAATGCGATTTTCTATTAGTTAATGGGGGCAAATCGTTGATCGATTTCAACCGTAGTGATGAAAAACGTTAAAGGACCAGGATGGAAAATTTTTCTCAAGCGAACGAAATTCTAACAATGAATATGATTTTCGTTCATGAAACTCCATTCATTCCAAAATCGAACATTAAAATTAAACGAAATTTTGGTCGGCATGCGTCAAGTGTCTACTGGTAAAGAAAGATCTTTCGTACCAACGTTCGTTCAGAAATCTACTAGTGTATGACCAGCAATATTCATGTACGCAAGGCTGTCTTCCTGATCCTCGCCTCACTAGTCAGTAGTTGTTTCAAGTACTCACAGTCCTTCCCAAAGTGGTGTCATGACAGACTCCCGGGGCTAGTAGGCTAGTAGCAATTGCTCATCTTTTGATGTTCTTGTCCTGTTTATATGTTTTGCTTTAAATGCATATTCGGAAACTCTTTGGATAAAATATGTTGTCTGTTTGCAGGTCTTTTTTGCAGAGGAGGTTGGCTCAAACAAAGGAGCAATTATCGGCTTAATGGTTGGTGGTGTTGTCATAGCAACTGTTATAGTAATCACACTAGTGATGCTGAAGAAGAAGCAGTACACTTCCATCCATCATGGTGTAGTAGAGGTAAGTGCTGTTTATATAGAATCTTGAATGATTGCAGTGACAACCTCTACGACCTGTACTCTGACCTTGTGTGATGAAACACAGGAAGTCCTTTACTTTGTGTCGGCTGCTTCTGTCTGAAGTAATCACTGTCACATTCAATGACAAAAAGCAGGAGAATGTTGTTGTAATGGCAACTTTAGAGTGAAACTGTAGGTCTGCTGTTCTTGCCCTTGTGGCAGACTCGCTGCTGTTTTCCCTCCTCCAACGCTGAAAGATCAGACCTGTCCTTAACGCCCCGTTCACACTTGGCTGCCCCCGTTTTCGCTGCACGATTTTGTTTGTTTTTGCTCGTGTTTACGCGTGTTCATTCAGTTGCGCGTTTTCGTGAGGAGATAGCTCCACATTGATGTAAATGGGCAAAGGCGCGTAAAACGAGCGCAAAATAATTGTCGTGCTTTTCCGAGCATTTCCTATTGAGTCTATGGGGACAAAACGTGCTGTAATCTGCTAGAAAGAAGCTCATGGACTTTTTCCGGCGACAGGCATTTTTCTACAGGCGATGCTACACTCGGGTGTGAACATGGGCTAAAGAAATAAATGGGTTTTCTTGTCTTGAGCTCGAGTGTGAACGGGGCCTTATCACTCTGCCTGCAGCTTCTTCCTGTCACTTCTCCGGCCATTGAGTGGCCACTTATGTTGTGTTACAGACCAGCTTATTAATACCTTTCACAGATACCTTTGTGAACAATTTCTGGCCTCTATCAGAATGGGACATGGTTGAAATAAGCACACAATGTTCTTCCACTGGAATTTCTTTCAGCATTTCTAAGCATGTGGAAGCAATCACTACTACTATATTAACTGCTGGGAGAACAAATTTGCAGCTGCTATAGAAGCATGCCGCCATGCCACCACAGTAATAGCTACAGTTGTGGTAGTGAAAGGGTTAATGACTCCTTTCCCCCCCCCCCCCCCTTTTTATGCGGTAATTCAGTCAGGCTGCAACAGTAATAAATGTGGCCATCCATTTTAATTTTTTTACTGTACTATTGTGCTAAAGCCAAGAGTAAATGCCCAGGCAGCATGCTGGAGACCCAAACTGCTGCTCAACGCAGACCGCAGTGGTCAAGGTCTCTAACATTCTGACTTGCTCAGTTTTTAACCCTAGAATTTTAACCCTGGAAGTAGCACAATAGTAAATATAAAACATCTAGGCACTAACATCTAATATTGCTTATGCAGCCTTTTCTGTGTAGTTAAGAGCTTTGTGGTACCTTTTAGCCATCCTTACCATAACCTGTCTGGTTATGCTTTTTTGTTATTGTCAGTGCAACCTAAAAATGCCTGTTGATTCCTAATTTGTCAGTTTGTCCAGCCCTGTTCACATTAAAGCACCTGGATTTTGAATATATTTAGTATTGATGACCTCCTAAAACCTAAACCTATTTATATAAAAACGTAAAATTTGGAAAAAAATAAAAGTCTAAGCAGTGAAGCTTCTGTAGATGAACGCTATAGGTCTTACTCCATAACTCAAGTCTGGGAAGGAGATCTGCAGAAAACCCTACCTTATTGGTTGTTTGCATACATGCTTTCAAAAACTACAACTTCCTAGAGTCATCAGTATATAGTCATTTTGTGGGATTGCCAATTGGTGAAGCATGGAAAAACATAAGCATAGGCAGTGGCCAGTCATCCATCTCATAGGCTAGCTGCAGCAGTGACCGATCTCCATGATTGGACAGTTCAGGAGAATTGGTTTCCTTGGCTTAACACAAACTTATCTGGAGAGAAACACAGGTGCACAAAACAGAACTGTATAGGGCTTTTTGAGATGAGAGAACAAACCACAATGCAGTTGAACCAGTTTTAAAAGAATTTGCAAAACTTGTATTAGCATAGAAAACATTAAAATATCCATGAATACTCATAACAGCAAGTCACCATTGTTGGCAGAGAATTATCAGAGTGGCATTATTGGACATTGGTGAAATCACTCTATAACATCTAGTGGTTGATAACATGGGTTTTGTACAAATAGATGCAATGAATTAATCTTGTTCCTCAAGACTCTGATAATCCTCTGCCAACAACGGTAACATGGATATTTTAATGTTTTCTATGTTAATAAAAGTTTAGTAAATTATTTTAAAACTGGTTCAACTGCATTGTGGTTTGTTCTCTCATCTCCGAAGCCCTATACAGTTCTGTTTTGTGTATCTAATCTAATCAGGGTGAGATGAGACAACGTTTTTGGGGGAGCCTAACAATTATATCCTCTGGAGAGAAATACAGAGGCTGCTGCTGTCAATCTTCTCAAAATGCCAGTTTACCACCTGCTACTGTAACTCATTGACTTGAGACATTGGCTCAGATAAAGTGTTTAGCTCAGGAAAGTTGAGGTAAAGTCAGAAGTCCCAATCTTCATTGTTTTGGGTCAATAACTCAGAGTACTGACAATCGGCCAACTCAAGTTTTCAAAAGCAAGGTCAGCAATGGTATCCTCTATGATTTTCCTTGATGTTTTTCATTCAAATACAACCTTTTCTCTTCTGTGACAGCAACCAATTTGAGTCTCTGATATTCTCTGAAATGTAAAGACTGAATGGCTGATGACTTCCTTAGAGGTGCCTCCTTGCCATGTCATTCAATTAGAACTGAAGGTCAAAATATAAAATCACATATGTGATGTAGGCTACCCATACCAGCAAGACCAGGTTCTCTGTTTTTCATACTACCCCCTGGAAAATGTAGTAAATACCAGTAGAACCATTGAATAAGGTGACAATGCTGTAACATCTACAGTTAAATCACTGCATCTTGTCACCCATGTTGCTGCTTAACCCCTTAGTGACCGAGGCCTTTTTTTGTACCCATGTTATAATCCACATTTTAGGCCTGAAAATTACTTCAAACCCCCACACATTATATATTTTCTGAAACCCAAGACCCTGTAGAATAAAATGATAGCGCAACGTATTATCAAACCTCTAAATGTAGTGAAAAATGCCCCAAAACACAATTAAATACCCATTTTTGTAATAAAATATACAACATGAGGTTACAACAAGTAAATGGATACCCAACATGCCCAGGTTAAAAATGGTGTTAGTCTGTGAAACTGCGACAAAATTCAGTACCCCAAAAAGTCCATAGTTGACGCTACAAAAGCTTAGAATTATTGCTCGACGTGTGCGGCGATACCCAACGTGTTGTGCGATAGTTGTTCACGTGACGATGCGCGTGCTTGCGTGGGACTTTAAAATTTATTATTTTTACATTTATTTTAATTAAAATTAATTTTAAAACTGTTTTTTTTTTTAGTTTAATTGCTATCACTTAGGGGGGCTTACAAGCCCCCCATGTGATAGCAAATGGTGGTGGCAGGTACTCTTTAAGGTGATGCTGGGGGTCCAAAAGATCCCTAGTATCCCCTGTATACTCCCAATAAGCTATTGAAGAGCAGATCACACTTCTATAACTTATTGCTGGGCTTCAGGAGCCCAGGACTGACCGCTATGTGACCGGAAGTGATGTAATCTGCATCGCTCCCGGTCCCATAGTACGGGGAGGGGATGGGTGAACAGAATCCGGCATCTTTAGCCTCCAGGAGTCTGTTTGAATGGGCCCGGTGCCAGTGGCGTACTAAGGGGCTAAATGTCCACACCCAAATAGCCCAGTCATTGAATAGCTGTGCCAAGCTATGCCTACAACCTTTTAGATTGAACGCACATTCCTGCAGGAGCTTGCATGTTCTAAGGGAATGATGTAAAAGCCCTGCTCAGTTCTTGCTATTACTTTCAGCACTGCCTAACAGGCTGCATGAGAATTCCAGCTTCCCAGCTGAATCCACCACTTTAAAAAAAAAGTATATTACATTTCTTTTAAAACATAGCAACTTGCATTAAAAACACTTATTTATTGTTCTTTGACAAAAAAATGAAAGGCTAGAGATGGATTCTAATGTATCTCTAGATGTATCTCTAGTTATGGAAAAGTGCCACTGTTCTCAGGAACATAGGCAGGAGTTTGGAAAGTTTTTGCTCCAATATACACAAACTATTTAGTTAAATGTCTGCTCTGCTCTCTTCTTATCACAGGTTGATGCTGCCGTGACCCCTGAGGAGCGCCACCTGACCAAAATGCAGCAGAACGGATATGAAAACCCAACCTACAAGTTCTTTGAACAGATGCAGAATTAAGAACACCACAGCAGCCTCTGGTCTCGGACAGCAAATTGATTGCTTCACTGCCCATCGGTGTTCCACTCTATACATATATAAATATAGAAACAGAAAATTAAAAAAAAAGGTCATGTTGAGAGAATAATACAAAAAAAAAGGGAAAAAAAATACACTGTTTTATTATTTACTCATTTCCGCCTTTTGACAGCTGTGCTGTAACAAAAGTAGATGCTTGAACTAATGAACTAAAATCTGTAATGTATTCTCTTAACATCTCTCTGTCTTTACATAACATAATTCGATGAATGTTTTTGTGTACTGTAAAGAGATTAGCCGTCTTTAATCTAGTGCATGAGTAGCTGCCTCTCCTGATTATTTATCATGTAGATCCTAAAAACCGGTTGTATATTATTCTTGTGAGTTGTGACAAAAAAAAAAATCAGTCCTGGTTGAAAATTGCTTTACAAACGATTGGGGATGCATTCTTCTGTGTACGTGAGGTTTTTGCTGCTTTTTTCTTTCTTTTTGTTCTTATTGCCTAATCATTTTTTTTCACCTCCACTATGCATTTTCCAAAGTAGATCTAAAATTCTTATTTTTTTTAAATTCCATGCTCAGTTTCTTTTTTTTAATCTACCGTGTTATTGTACAGATTGTACTGCTGTGTTTAGTGGTGTAGAAAATCATGAAGATTACACATTTGTTTTTTTGTGCCTGTTTTATGTGCACACTTTAGGAGTTGCAAAAACAGAATTAAAAAATAAAAGTTGAACAAAAAAAAAAAGTATATATATAAATATTTTTTCTTTTCCATGTACCTTTGGAGCTTTAACCCCATCAGCGCTGGATGATCCCGGGGACACAATGTGTTTCGAGATCGCCTGGCTTTTACGGGGTTGTTTGTTGTGTCTCTGATAATTCTAAGCACTTTTTTTAAGGGAGAAATAAAAAAAAAGTGCCCTGCTGGTAAAAACAAAATTAGCAGAGATTCCTTACAAAATGACAACTTTCTGCTGGATGATTGTACAGAATCATTGCTTATGAACTAATAGCTTTCTACACTGTGTTACATAAATAAATTTAAAAAGAAATCGGATGTAATGAGCTTTGTGTCTTTATTTTATGACATTGAGGAAACAAATAACATAGATGAAAATAATTGTTTGGGAATTGAATCTGATTATCAAGGTAGACAAAATCAAACACCGCGCCAGCAGATTTTGGTTCAAGAGAGTATTAATCAATGATGTTCAGGAGTGCAGGGTGATAACAGGGCGGCTCTCACCAGGTTCAGAACAACCTCAGCACTGCAAGGCAAGACACAGAGAGCGCCTCCATCGCATAAAAACTTTTTAATAAACGAATAAAAAATGGTATAAAGGTACTCACAAAGGACGAATAAAAACAGGCATAAAAGGCTCAGAACGAAAGGTGCATATCCACCGGCTGTTCGTCTTCCCTGGTAGTGAAGTGGTTTACGCGTTTCAGAGGTCACGCCTCCTTCCTCGGAACCAACTGGTTCAAGGTGTTAAACTCAAGAGCAGATTGAAGCAGAAGTCTGGTATTTTTAAAACCCACACCCCCTTTGTACATACATAACTTTTTTCCACCTTCGGCTGGTCTGATAACATCAAAGCACAGTGGGAGTGGGAGGCAGTCCTTACGTGAAAAGTGCTTATGTGTGCCGTGGAGTAATACTCTGAGCCTAAGCTCTGTGATGACTCCACCCCAAGGAACAGGTCTACAACAGTCTGGGCAAAGAGGAAATGGGTTCATTAACACTGGCCATCATTTAACCTGGAAAGCATCTAGTGTTGGAAAAGAAGTACTGCTCCAGATTGAATGTACTGAGTATATTCCTCTTGCACACCATACTAGATTCAACCCTGTGGTTAAAAAGGTGCTGTAACGGCTCCCGGCTGGTCAAAGTGTATAACATGAATACGATATGTCGCCACCACACCGACAAGCTTGTTTCAAATTTGCTCTTTTTTTATTGCATTAGCAATAGATGAGCAACGTTTCTGGAACATACAGGGATCCTTCTTCACATGCCTGAGGAATGGTCCCTGCGGGGTCCAGAAACATTGCTTTTCTATGTGATCATGCAATTAAAAAAAAGAGCTCTGCAGTTTGAAACAAGTTTGTCAGTGTGCTGGAAGCATATCTTATGCAAGCTACAGAACATTTGTTTGTATTTCATTATGGCTGGAGTTCTGCGTTAAGAACAACCAGGTCACTAGGTGGGCAAAATGTTTTGACCTTTCCTGTATAAATAGTCAGTCCAAAATTCTGACTTTCCTGCTTCAAATGCCCAATGTGATCACTCACCAGCTCTGTATGTAAATTTTATTTTAAGGTCATACACTCCAAAAGTTGTACACAGCATGAAGCTAGAAATGATCTGCTGCTGCTACTGTTTTGCAAATGTGTCTTCTTTACAGGTTTAATGTATACCATAATATAAATAAAACCTGTAAATAAGTCAAATTTGCAAAACAGTAGCTGCAACAGATCATTATTAGCTGCAAACTCATGTCAGGTGGTTCAGATGCTGTCAGTTGGGTGCTTGGTGCTTTAGAGCCTTCTGAATCGGCCATGGAAAAAGTGACTTTATTTAAGTCACAGCTACCGAAGCATTGGTACACATCCCAGCATGACAATGCCTACTGATGGGTTAAACAAGCAATAGGCTCCCGACTGGTCACTGTGTAATAACAGGCTTTAATCGGCTAAATGAAAAAAACTGAACAAATTCCTCCATCGATGCATATGAGCGTTGATTGAGAAATCTCCCGCTGTTTATATTGGCTGTTTCTGATTGGCTGCCAGCTCAGTTCGGCCAGGAATTTCCCAACCTGCTCCTTGAATCAGCTGGTCGAGGGATGCAGCACCCACTGTGTCAATTTTGGCTGGTTAATCATGAACTGGACAAAATTTGAACCGTGCATACCCAGCCTTAGACTGAGGGATGAGGTCAGAGACCCATTTCTAATTTCTACTACCAGGAGGTGGAGATACTGCATAAAGCCACCTGGTGGCACTGAACTTAGAAACTATGCAGTAAGGTCTGTGCTGATACTTATGTTTACCTACTTCTGCTATTAGTTTTATAATTTTGTGCTGCTTTTTATTTATTTTTTCCCTTTACACTGTGTGTCCCTAAATTTTAATTGAAGGGCATTGCAGCAGACACTCTTCGTACCTCATGACTTCTATTCTCCCTCAAGATCAACTAAGTGCCATAGATAATCCCCCCTGGACTACAAAGGGTGTCGATCACTGCTGCTGTGTCCCATGTGGTGCACATAACTTCCATAGAGCCAGAGATTCATCTGGATGAGAAAGAGCCCACCCTTCACTTTGCACAGAGTATGTGTATGTGTATTGTGATCCAGACTGTTAACAGAGGTAACAGCATCTTGTTGTATCTTGATGAGAAAGGGTTATCTGGAGAGAGTCCCTTTCTCAGTGCACAGTGGAGAAGGTCTTGTGCTGCTGAACACAACTGATTTGCTGTGTTCCTTATCGCATTAGGTGATAACGTGTGCTGCACTACCCGCTTATTAGTGAGCAGTAAAAGTATGAAAGGGTAGCTTAGACTAGTGTTCTGCTGCGTGGTGTGATCTAGACTTCAATCTCATGTAACACACAGCATCTGGTTTAGGGCCGGTATCAATATGCTTCCATAGGCAAATGCAAAATGCTTTTAAATAGGGATGCACCAATACCGTTTGCTTGTGATCGAGTACCGATATTTATATTTCGATACTAACGGATACTGATACTTCTGGCATCATGGTGCCAGCTTCCTGGGCAATCAGGAAGCCGGGCAGCGTGTCACTACCCACCGCCCAGCTTCTTAGCCAATCAGCATCAAACATTCTCTTAACAGTATTTTGATTATTATTATACCGCCGATCACACAGTCGGTGCGGGCACTGTACACAGACTGGAGTCATGCAGCATTTGTACATCTCATGAGACTGAGCGGTTGGTAGATGCAGGAGAGGTAAAGCGGCTTGGAGAGCGAGGTCTGCCCGGCTGGCCGAGGGACATCTGTGGTACGGTGATGACTGCTCCTGAGGATGGATATGGGTGTAATGAGAGGTGAATGAGGTGTCTGCAGGGTGGAGGTTGTGTCACTATATTATCAAAGCTGTTTGGCCGGCTCGATGCTGATTGGCCGGGAAGCCAATTTCCTGGCCAATCCGCATCGAGCCAGCCAAACAGGATTTACTGGGAAGCCGACTCCATGTTCCCTCACAGCACTTCTGGTCAGAGGAAATCTCTCTCTGACCGGAAGTTCTGGTATCCGGGTATGAGATGTTCAGCGGCCGCGATGCACGCTTAAATGTGACAGGGCTCCTAATGCTGCCTTCGCACATCAGCGTTAAGGTCCTCTGTCACTTCAAAACTGAGGTAATGTATCAGGCAAATTAGACGTCCGCAAGGCCCTTGTGAGTGCGAGGCCTTAGGTGATCGCCTAATGTGCCTAATTAGAGAGCCGCCTCTGTGTTAGACTATTAGCATTGTCAAAAGGAGAGCTCGGCATTAGGCTGCAAACTTGATTTATAAATATAAGTTTAACATTACAATAGAAAGCTGCACCTGATTGCACAGGCAGGGTCAGTGAATCAAAGGCCAGCATTCTCAAGAAGTCAACGATGGCAGCTCCCAGTAACTTTCTCATTACAGATCCACTTTAGCAGCACTATGCCCAATATTAAATTACAGGTATGCTTTTAAATACAGGACATGCAGCGTAATTCTCCAGTACAATTAAATGATTCCCTTCTTCCCCTGGCCAAGAGCTCCAGTCACCACAGCTTAAAGAAATACCTCAAGCTGCTGAATTTAATTAAAATATTCCACTGCCCATAATGATCTACCTGGATGCACTCCGCAATGACTTTCATTCACAGAGCTGTATGTAGCCGCTGTGGCTTTCACTGCATGAGTGTCACAGCGTGTCTCATTTTATCCCATTCCTGTTATGAATTAATAGGCTTATGTTTCTTTTGTACATTAAATGCATAGCACACTCCATAATATTTATTTTCTGGTAAGCACCGTGATAATGCACTGCATTAGTTTTATTGTGAGGCTCAAATTGTGTTTGGACTGCATTTCAAAATAATTATCCAATGTAATTGTTCTGGATGAAAAAACGAGGAGAAGGCTTGTAAATATAAAGCGGTAACATGGCTCCCAACTGTCCCACTTTTGGAAGTATCTTTCTGTCCCTCCTTACTCAGTTGTCCCTCTTTTTTGATGTTTAGACCTCTATAAAATGTGCCATTTACCTCCGAATGGTGTTATGTTTCACTAATCCTTTCATCCAAGCTCTAAATTATTACCTTTGTTAGTTGGAAAAACAGGAAAAGGAAAGTTAGCGCTGAATTAAAAAAAACAAAACCCATGCTGGGTGGGTTTAAAAAAAATATATTTTTGTGTATTAACTCTCCAAGGTCCATGTAAGTGGGGATGTGGCAGACGTGTATCCTTTGCCAGCATACTTTGTGCTAATAGTTATCCATCCTCATCACAAAAAATGGAGAACCAATAACAT